CACGCCTGGCTAATTTTTTTTTTTTTTTTTTTTTTTAAATAATTGAGACAGGATATCACTATGTTGCCCAGGCTTGTCTTGAACTCCTGGGCTCAAGTAATCTGCCCGCCTTGGTCTCCTAAAGTGCTGGAATTATAGGCATGAGCCACCACACCCAGCGAGTTCTGTGTAATTCTGTCACGTGTATGTGCCATTGTAGTCAAGATATTGAACAGGTTGATTAGCACAAGGGTCCCGTGTGCTACTGACTTAGTTAGAGCCATAGTTAACCTCTTCCCCCGTCTTGGCCCCCTAATAACGGCTCATCTGTCTCCGTCTGTGGTTTCGTCATTTCAAAAAGTTATGCAGGTGAACTCATGGTATGTAGCTTTTTCTGTGTTGCTTATTTCACTTAGGCTAGTGTCTTTCAGGTTCGTCCATATCCTGATGTGTCAGCATTGTCTTCTTTTCAAAGGCTGAATCATATTCCTGTGTGTATTCACTGCATTTTGTTAATTCGTTCATCCATGTATGGACACTTGGTTTGCCTCTACTTAGTGGTTATTCTCAGTAGTAGTGCCATGATCATTGTACAGAAATCTGTTGGCAGTCCCTGCTTTGGATTCTTTTGGGTATATACTTAGAATTATGATTGTTGGATTGTATGGTAACCTTAGTTTTAAATTTTCTGAGGAATCGTCATACTGTTTTTCACAGTGGCTGCAGCATTTTACATTCCGACCAGCAGTGCACAAGGGTTGCAGCTTCTCCACATCCTTACTGACTTCTCATTTTCTGTTTTTTTTGGTAGTGGACATCCTAATGCCTAATGGTTATGAAGGGATGTCTCGTGGTTTTGATTTGCATTTCCCTGATGATGAATAATGTTGGTTGCGCATCTTTTCATGTACTTACTCGCCATTTGTGTGTCTTTGGAGAAATGTCTATTCAGATCTTTTGCCCATTTTTTAGGTTAATTGGTTTGTTTGACTTTTTGTTGAGTTGTAGATACCATTTTCTTCACCAGATACAGGTGAGATGCATTTACATGTTATTTTCAAATAGTTTAGCAAATTAATGTTAACAAATTATTAGCGTAAGACTTAGATTTTCTCTACCAAGGTCTTATATGTTTTACAGATGAATCCTTTTTGCTGAAAATAAACCAAAATGAA